TTTTGGCTAAACAGGAATGTGTCCCTTTGCAAAATCAAACACTGACAAATAAGAGAGCACGACACTGTATGATTTCTAGAGCTGATATAGGGCAATTTGTTCAGCAGAGTGACATAAGCTTCGTTATGATTGCATCATCCATGACTTTTAGGAATAACATGATGCAATTCATATCATGTATGACGCAATACCAGCTTCAGATTGCATCATTCATTGTTTTGCCTAAAAAGCAAGTACTGTCCAAACCCAGTCATAGATTTATTCATAGATCCAGTCAAAGATGTATTTTAGTCATTTCTGGTTTAAATTGAGATCCCTTCCCTTTATAACTCACTTCTCCTCCGCCATTCCCAAGTCAAGGGTCGTATATACTGACACAATAGCATATCTTGAAAACTAGAGCCAATCAACAATTTTAAGCATCATTTTCGTTCTCAGTGACCCAGAATTAGTCACGTTTGACTACATTTATTTCAGAAGCATTTTCACTGTAGAGCAGTGTAATAGGATACTAGCTTTCTACTAGATGTCTCAAATACATTTATCCATTCTGAATGTATTATGTTTCTTTTCATGCTCTTTTTCAAGCCATATCTTGCCACATACATTACAAAAGAAACTGAATACTGCGATTGTGTGCACTAACAACAAAGCTGATTTTGGTTACATATACATTGTTGGTGTGCTAGATAACTCTTACAATGTTACTGCACTACATCTGACGTTTGAATTCATCCATTTCCTTGTTTAGTAGAGAGAAGTGACAACTGTGAAGATTCTCACAATGCAGGATTTGCCTATTACTTTACATGTGAGAGTAAAATTAACGAAAGAATTGAAAATTAGTTTTGTTTTGTTTTTTTGGTATCCAGGACAAGAAGGACCAATAGGAGAAAAGGGAAAAACAGGGGATTATGGTGTAGCAGGAATGCCAGGGAAGGATGGTGAACCTGGCTTCCCAGGACTTCCAGGTATGTTTGCAGCTTTTTATAAATGTAACTAGCACAGACTTTTGTAATCCTTGTTAACTAATGGAACTTGTAACACTTTTCATTGTTCGTAGGACGAAAAGGTGATCAAGGCCCTCCAGGATACCCAGGTGACCCAGGATTTCCAGGACAAAAAGGGTCAATTGGAGAAATGGGTTTGCCAGGTACCACATGGTCTGAACTTAGCTTGTTGAGATATCACCTTCACAAAGATATGTGTCAAAAATGGCTGGTCAAAATAGTGAAGGAAACAGATCTTAAAATATTTAGGGATAGATTGAGCCTTTAACCAATAGCTGTGTCTCCCCAGGAGAGATGCCCAGGAAGGAATTGTGACTGAGTCCTCCTCCTTACTTCAGAGGGGAATAACTTCCCTCAGCTGGTTGCAGGTTACATCCCACCTCATGCTGCCTCAGATAAAAAGTTCAGAGATTTGGGAGAAGAAGAATTGGAATGATTTATCCCTTTCGCATCCTCAAGCTATAATTAGGGTTGGAAGGATTAGATTTTTCTTGGAAAATAGATAAATGTCGATTTCACCAGTCGACAGTCCAGGCTCTACTCATTGATTACTCAGCACTGTTGCACACTACTCCTGTTCTCCTCCTCTGCCTGGAATTGACGTGGAAAGGCTCCACATGGTGTAGGGAACTTATTGCCCCTTGTGCTCCTGTGTCTGGCCACATTCTGACCCTTGAACCCCTGAAGTTAAAAATAATTATTGTTAGTGCTCAGTCAAAGAAGATTTTCTTGTTAAACTATGTTATTTGCATAGATTGGATAACAGAGAGGATGCGGTCCTTTCGCCACTGGTTTAAGTATGGCTCAAGTCAGTAGTGACCAAGGCTATGTCTACGCTTATGGTGGAGTGGAGTGTACATACTTTGCACGCCCCTCTCACGTGGGTATAAATAGCAGTGTAGACAGTGAGGCACTGCTTAGGATATGTATGTACCCTACACAGCTCTCTACACACCAAAGCAATGCCTCCCCCATCTACACTGCTATTTTTAGCAGTGTAATGTCCCATGCTGGAGCCTTTCCTCATTGCAGTGAAAGACTTCTGCAGTGGGGAAAGGCTCCAGCAACTCCCCACTGCTGGAGACTTTTCCCGCCACATGGAACTGCCAGAGCCTTTCTCCGGCACAGGGAAAGACTTGGGTAGTAGTGAAAAGTTCTGGCATGAATGAAGCAGCAGGGAAAGACTCTGGCAGTTCCCTGCTGCTGGAGTCTTTCCCTGCTGCCAAAGCCTTTCACTGCCATATGTAACTACACACCACAGTGTGGATGCAGCCTGCTTTTCACTGTGATGTGTGGCTACATATACACTATGCTATGTGTTGCCACAAGGCCCAAAAGAAATTGCCATCTGACTTTCATTCAGTGTCCTTTGTGAAAAAAGTTGGTAGTCTCAGTTCAGATTTTAGTGGATAAGTAGATGGCTACATCATAGTCTGCACTATTGTTGGAAGTCTGAACAGAGAGACCAAGGACCCAAGGGACATGAAAACTTGAATCACCTTTCACCTCTAGAGGTGGCTCCTTCAGAAGATGGTTGTATTACATTGTTGTACAGTTATAGATAGGATGTTGCAGTGCCCCTGCCTGTGCTGTAATTGTTCTATTATTAAATACAGAAGCTTATTTTTCAGCTCTGCCAACTGGGACACCTTTCTTGATCACCACAGTCATTTATTTTTCAAATGGGGAGTGGGGCAACCTGCCTTGTAAAATCTTGTAATATCTTGTAATATCTTCAGGTCAAAACAGTCTGTAATCATACTTGAATGTGGTATTTTCCTGTATTTGTTGACAAAGCTAAAAGGACATGCAAGCATAAACATGTTATCTATTTTGTACATTATAGCAAAGGTTGGCAGAATTCAATTTTTATTTTTTGATCATTTTGACAGGTAATATCGATGTTTATTTTTAAGCAGCTTTTTTTAGTTTTTTTATCCATTTAAATTTTCACAGTTGTGGGAAATTCTGGGGGTTCAGATAGTTGGAAGGGATCAGACAATAATTATTTAATGACAATCGACATTGAGTTTCAAAAATTTAAAGCTTTATAATTGTTAAAACACAAATTGTCAACATCACAGTCAAAATATACAAAGTAAATATCCGTAAATTGAACTCTCATAATTTCTGAAGCAGCATCTGTAAATTTCCATTATTACTAATGGAAATATTTTTTGTTTGTTTGAGTGTGTTTGGTGAGATCGACATTTATCTATTTTCCAAGAAAAATCCAATTCTTCCAACCCTAATTATAGCTTGAGGACGCGAAAGGGATAAATCATTCCAATTCTTTTTCTCCCAAATCTCTGAACTTTTTATCTGATCCAAAACAAATTGTATATTTTAAAAAAAGCTAAGTTTGAAGAAGACAGTTTATCCAGAAAGTGTATCCAGAAAATTACATGATAGTTAAAATAAACAGCAAGGTTAGCTATTTCAGTGGTCACATTAAACCAGATGTCGTTAGGACTAACTCATATGCAGGAAATGAAGGTTGAATAACAATAGAGTGACAATAGAGATTTACCAAACCACTTGGTAAAATATTTAGGACCAGATTCTTAGTTGATATCTGTCAGTGTAGGTCCATTGAATTCAACTGAGGATCTAAGCTGGCATAGATCAGTGTAGCTCCACTGACTTCTATGGAGCTATGCCACCAGCTGAAAATCTGGTCTCCATGCCTTTGGTTTTCACTCCTACATCAATATTAAAACAAATCTCTTAAAATGAGTTCCCAAATTCTGCATTCAAATCTCAGATCTGTGTATGAGGACAAACACTTCAGCACAATTACTTGTTTCAGGCTCACAGGTGTAGGATTTGCACATACAATTCAGGCAGCCAGTTTTGAAAATGTTATGTATCTGTTATAGATTTTGTCATAAAGTTGGAATGCATCCAATTGTGATAGAAATGTGGTGTCCTAGTGACAGTCTGTATTTTTTTAAAATAGAGGAATGGGAGGAATGCATCTTAACAGGGAATCTTATCTCAGTTAAAATTGGCTATTTGTTAGTTTATACCTAACATATTTAAGAAATCAAAGAAAAAAAGATTGGAGGCCAAAAAATCAGTAATATCAAGGCTGGCTAATTTGTCATCCAACTTCTATTCTCATACATTATTTAAATTAATTTGAATTGTTAGTCAAAACTGGCCTTTGAGATCGAGCAAGAGAAAGAAAAGGGGGTTCGCACTGCATACTCTCTGGTTCTTATTGGCCCAGTTCTACATTTTCTCATATTTAGGAGCACACTATCACCTGAGTAGGCCAGTCGACCTCTCAGAGGCAGACTCTTTTAATTACTAAGTTGCTACTACACATGGTAGGTAACCTGGAAATCATTTTGGTTCCATTGACCAGATAGGTATATTACAAGTTGTATTTGTCAGTTGCTCTTTATGGAAACCTGAATATTTTTTTGCATTTGGTTGTGTGCATGGCTAAATCATAGGCACACTTCTGAACATTTATGTATAATAAAACAGGGGAAGTACAAAAACAATTCACTTAGGTTCTTGTTATCTCTATTTACTAGATAGTACAGCAATTCACTTGTTTTCTAGTTCTAACATCCATAGTCGTTTCAAGGTAACATCTCAATAACAGATTTTTGTCTTTATTGCTGGTGTGCTACAGATTTAATATACTTTTTATTTTATTCTTAGGAACACCTGGAGAAAAAGGTGTACCAGGTGTGCCAGGCTCACAAGGTATACCAGGGTACCCTGGATTACAAGGTGCAAAAGGAGACAAAGGAGAGTCGGGTATTCCAGGGGTTGGCATTCCAGGTTCTCCGGGTGAGAAGGTATTTACAATCTCAAAAATGAATTGTCTCATTTCTAATAAGTACCTCAAAAGATTCATTTGTTCATAAGTTATTCTGTTAAATTTCTATTTTAACATCTGAGTGGAAACTTCGTGTGTGTGTGTGTGTGTGTGTGTGTATAAAAGAGAGGCCTGGCGGTTAGGGACATGAGAGTCCTGGGTTCAAGTTCCTGCTCTACTATGGACTTCCTGTATGACCTTGGGCAAGTCACTAACCTCTCTGTGTCTCAGTCCCCCATCTATAAAATGGGTCTAAACTTGAGGTGGCTGGCAGTCTAGGTTCCAAAGCCAAAGAAACTAACAGAAGTCAACCCTCCCCAACCTTGGCATTGGAAACAGGAGATGATGATGGGTGTGTGTGTATGGAGGGCCTCATATACTCCATTGCACAATGGTACCAAATTTTGCGGCAGTGTTGATTTAGTCTATCTCCATAAAATAAAATAATTTACATCACTGAAAATGAAAGAAACAAACTCTTTAAAAATGACTGAGAAGATGCAAAACACATTACAGAAGCTCCCTGACTTACGCAAGTGTTCCATTCCGGAACGCCTTGCATAAGTCGAATTTTGCATAAGTCGGGAACGTATCTCTGACAATCACGCAAAAAAAAAAAAAAAGCTTGCGGAATTTACAGAACTTTTTCCATAAGTGCGGATTTCTGTAAGTTGGGTTTGCGTAACCTGAGGAGCGGCTGTATACTAAAACATATCCTGATTTCCCTTCCTTACAGGCATTTGAGGAGGTTAAATACATTAAAAGATTGTGAGCTGTTCAGATAATTTAGTAATGGGCACCATATATGTGTCATAGATCGACTTAATTCACACTCCACATATTCTGAAAGGGGCTCTGTTGTTGGTTCACAAGACTTTTTGAAGGCAAATATTTAGAGTATCCTTTGAACTTTGGAGTAAAAATTATAAAATTAAACCCTGTGTATTTAATAGCAAACAAAGAATTTTGATAATCTGGACTTTGATGGTGACTAAATGCATGGGCAATAAAGAAGTTATGTGGGTAACTTATAGAAAATTGCAATCTTTATCACTGGAAGAAAAAAAAGATAAAAGGCCCCCAATGAAGTGTATAAGAAGGCTTCTAGTCATCTGTGCACTACATAAATAGAATGAATTAAGATAATTGTGTGTTTGTGAGCCTATAGGCTTCACTTAATTTAATCCTAAATAAAGAGGATGAAATTCTTTAATACGATGGTGGATATAACGGGGGGAAATTATGTAATATTGCAGAACATGATATGCCATTTTACCACATCTTAAGTGTGTGGCTTTTATTGTTTGCTTTTTTTTCCCATAGGGAGAACAAGGAAGACCAGGTGTTCCAGGCTTCCCTGGTGAAAAAGGTGAAAAGGGTAGTGCAGGAATTGCAGGAATGCCTGGTCATCCAGGTCCCAAAGGATTACCTGGCATTGCAGGATATCCAGGCAAGTCCTAAAAACATTTAATGTAAAACTAACAAGAACAAATGTACAGTCAGTGAATCGAATCCTCTTGCTTTCTTTAGGCAGCCCAGGTAGCCAGGGAGAAAAGGGTGAAAAAGGACTCTCTGGTTTGGATGGCATTCCAGGTTTAAAAGGAGAACCAGGTAAAGAATCCACTTCATTTTTAAAAAGCACCATTTCAAGTGTGCTTTCTACTCTAAAAAGTGACTGAACACTTCTGTATTTATCTGGGCTTCTGTATTTATTTTGTCTCAAAGATTCCTAGTCACATTTGTTCATTTTACAAGTGAAAAATGTGGAGGTGGAGGGCGGAGGGCCATTGCAAGACAAAACCAATCATTTTAAGATGGGGGGGACTGGTTCTTTAAAGATGTTTGTAGGACAGTTTTTCTTCAGTACCATTTGTTGCTACCATCATCATTACCAATTGCATTTAAAATCCCTCACATTGACCTTTAGGGCCTGATCTCCACTATGTTACATTGGTGTAATGTCACTGGGGTAAAACTAGTACGCTACAGTCAAAGTGGAGAGTCAGACTATATAGAGTGATTGTATGAATTCTCATGGCCCAGTTCTCTCTCTGCAGGACATAAGCACCTCATATTCAATAGGTGATACTGAAGGAGAAGACTCAAGCTCTTACTGGAGTTTCTTATAATTTAGTCTTAGCTGGGTTCACAACTATTACTATAAAAAACTAAAACAGGGATCAGCAGCCTTTGGCACGCGACCCGTCAGGGAAATCTGGTGGCAGGCCGGGCCGGTTTGTTTACCTGCAGCGTCCACAGGTTCAGCCGATTGCAGCTCCCACTGGTCACGGTTCGCTGTTCCAGGCCAATGGGGGCTGCGGGAAGCGGCGGCCAGCACATCCCTTGGCCCATGCCACTTCCTACAGCCCCCCATTGGCCTGGAACAGCGAACCATGGCCATTGGGAGCTGCGATTGGCCGAACCTGCGGACACTGCAGGTGAACAAACCATCCCGGCCTGCCATCGGATTTCCCTGATGGTCCGCATATCAAAGATTGCTGATCCCTGAACTAAAAGAACTGATTCTTCTCTGATACTGGTGTAATTCAGGAGTAACATCAGTGAAGGCAGTGGAGTTCTGCCAATGTAATACCTACGTAAAGTGAGAGCAGAATCAAGTCTATAATGAATAACTGCCGTTTGACTTCAATGGAAGCAGCATCATAACCTACGTTTCCATTGAGAGAAAGATGTGTAAAAATCTGATGACTGGATTATAAAATGGCAATGAATGATTTTTCAGGTGAGCCTGGTTCTCAAGGTTCCTCTGGTGTCCCTGGACAGAAAGGTGAACAAGGTTATGATGGAATTCCAGGTTCGCCTGGAGCAAAGGGTGATCCAGGTAAGCATCATGCCAGGTTACCTTTCTTTTGTGTTAAAATGTACATATATGTCAGATATTTATTACAGAAATGCACAGGAAGTGTCTGATTGTACAGTCAAATAAGATGGAGGACCATGTAGTTTTAAGTACTTACATTGGGAGGATTATATACTGAAGTTTGTATAATGCCTTGCAAACTACTATAAAGCTGGTAATTTGGACAGAAAGTTTCTCAGGAAATTGGTAGTTCTGGTCTCAATACTGACGTTTTTCCCTTAAGAAATTTGCAACAATAATCTTTGTTTGAAATATTTCAGTAAAACAAATTGTTGGTTTTTCATGACAGAAGTTTTGAACTGATTTGTAATGAAAACTTTTACTTCAAATAGACGTAAAATGTCATTTTGGTTTTTAAACCAAAATATGTAAACAACATTTAGTCTATACGAAACAAAAAAATTGTTTCAAAATTTCTGTGGGAAAAACACATTTTTTCATCAGAATCAAGAATATCTCCTCTTAACTCCCATTGACATACATTGACAAGGACTGCAGCATCAGACCCCTAAAGTGGGCATGGATATTTAAATCCAACAGAATGTTATATTCTTCACATGAGCATTCCTGAAAAGGTATAAATTGGAGGGGAAAGAACCATGTGTACAGTTAGTGCAGTTTGGACCAAATCTTGAGATCCTTACTCAAAATATCAATAAAGTCAAAAGGGGTTTGCCTGAATAAGGACCTCACAATTTGGCTCTTTATGACTTAAAAATGAACATGGAAAAAAAAAAAAGAACTGAGCACCCTGCACCAACCACCATCAACAAATTATACCTAAATTAAACAGCATTAGTTAGCCCTCACACTAAATAATCTTCTCTTAGTTCATGTAGCACTAGGGAGTCCTGAACCAGCTTTGATGGAGATGAGTGCCTTTAGTTAGTTGCATTGTGCATCAGTGTTAGCTTGATAGAAAAACTGTTGCAAAATCTGGCAGTATTTTAAAGATTTGTTGTTTAGGAAATCTTTTCCCATAACCAATTTGCTGTGAAATATTGGAGCTGGCTCATCCTTTCTTCATTATTGGTACGGTGGTGGCACATAGGGGCCTCATTCACAGATAGTCCCCATTGTGCTAGACACAGTGAAATACATAACAGAAAGACAGAGAAAAACTTGTGCATAAACCATTCATTTTCAAGTGCTGGTGTCTGTTTTTGTAATAAATATTAATTATGCATTAAATGTAACTATGTCTTGTCTTACTTTTGCTGCTGTCACTTGTAGGTATTCCAGGTAGAGGGCTTCCAGGATTTCCTGGTGCAAAAGGAGATAAAGGTAATATAAAATAAACAAAGTTTTTAAAACTTAATTCTGTAGTTCAAACACATGTGCAACTGCATTCTCTTATGTGCTCCACTATTTAAACCTGGAAGCAAAAACTCTGAGGTGTCAATTACTAATTTCTATTACAGTAGCAGCATCTTAGACATGAATTAGATATGCCCTAAATAGGTAAATATTCTTAGTGTGGAATTTACTGCAAGCTGTGTTGTGGTGAGATAATGCAAATAACTCCTTTATTTGTATTGTGTGGAGTGCTTTTGAATTTGAAGTCCTTCTGTTTCCATACTAATTTTGTAAAAATCAAAGTCTAGCTATTTTTCCTTTCTTTTACCATTTTATTTTATTTTATTTTATTGTACATATTTTCACCAGCCAATAAAATACATTGAATGAGCAATGAAAGTTCTAAAATAAGCTTTAAATTACCTATTTATACAAACTTGGAAAAAAATTCATGGTTTAAATGTCGATCTTGGTAAATCTATCCTCTTCTTCTGAACTAAACCCTGTTATCCTTACCCAAGCAAAACTTCCACTGCGTAGACACCAGTGGAATTGTGGCTGATTAAGGACTTTAGGGCTGGGTCTACACTACCTGCCTGAATCGGCGGGGGGGGAAAGACCACCCCCTTCTCTCCCCC